ATGCTACTGAGCAAGGACCCTGGCGCCCGCGCGGTGCCCCCAAAACAGCTGCTGGAACGGTTTGCCCGGGTCGAGGCGGGCGACTGGGCGCCCCTGCTAGCACCCCCAGGCAGAAGGCGAAGCGGAGGAGACCGTGGGCGGCCGCCAGCAGGGAGCGACGAGGAGCTCTCACAGCGCTGCGCGAGGGCGCATGCCTTGGTACAGCAAGGAGAAGTCTCGGCGGCGCGCCAGGTCCTCACGGCTAACACGATTGCGCCAGGGACCGAGGCTACGCTGGCGGAGTTGCGGGGCCCGGCGCGAAGGCTCGCCGAACCACGGGGGCCGCTGAGAGAGGACCTGGCAGCTGTAGCCCCGGAGCCCAGCTGGCTCGAGTCCGACAAGCTCCAGCGCAACCTCCGTGGCTGCCGCAGGGGCGCTGCCCCGGGCCCGTCGGGCTTGACCAACAAGCACTTGCAAACATTTCTGGAAGACGAGCACGCCAGCGGCTTACTACACCACGCGGCGACGAGGGTGGCGCCGGCAAGGTTACCAGGGCCTGTGGCAGAAGCTCTGCGCCTGGGGCAGCCCACGGCGCTAACCAAGCCGAGCGGGAGGGCGAGGGGCATCGTGGCAGGAGGCGTGCCGAGGAGGCGGGTGGCTCGCTGCATGGCACAACCGATCAACGAGGAGGTGGGGGCAGCTGCAGCACAATTTCAGTTTGCCCTGTCCACCAGGGCGGGCACAGAATGCGTGGCACATCTCATCCAGAGCTTGACGCAGGCCAACCCAGAGGCGACAGTGCTTACCATGCACGGCATTGGCGCGTTCGACCTCATGTCGCGCAACGCCATGCTACGAGTGTTGGCGGGCCTCCCGGCCGCGAGCTCGGCGTTCCCCTTCTGCAGAATGTTAGGCGGGTCCGGCTCGCAATACCTCTGGACCGACAGGCGCGGGGACGCCCGCGTAGTGGAGCAGACAGAATGCGGTGTGCAGGGCGATCCCCTGATGCCCGCGCTGTTCGCTCTGGGCCAACGCCCTGCCCTGCAAGAAGTGCAGGCCCACTTATTACCGGGGGAGAACTTTTGGACGACATTTCCGTGGTGTCAGCCCCAGCGCGAACGCGCGAAGTTTTCGAACTGGTCCGCATCGCGCGCCAGAGGCACTTCGGCATTGGCGTCAACATGGGCAAGACGAAGGTCTGTAACGCAGCAGGAGCGGGACCACCAGATGTCAGGGATTTAGGCACCGAGCAAGACCGGGTGTGGGTCGGAGACACCGCTGCGCCGCCGCACGAGCAGGGCGCGGGGTTCCTTGTCACGCCCGTCGGGCACGCGGCATTTGTCTGCCACCACATGCGCCCCCTGCTGGCAGACCACCGCGTGCTCCTGCATCGGCTGTGCCAAGTGGGTGACCTCCAGACCGCCTGGCTTCTCCTGAGCATGTGCGCCAACCCGCGAGCCAACTTCTACTGGCGCGCAATGGCGCCAAAGAGGACGCGTTCGAGTTCGCGGCAGCCCACGACGAGCACGTGGAAAAAAGCGGTCACGGACCTCCTGGGGGCCCCCGAGGACGAACTGGCCACCAGAGAGAGGGGCAGGGAGGTCGCGCAACTTCCGCTGTGCCTCGGTGCCTTAGGCCTGCGCTGCGCTGTCCGCATGGCGCCTGCGGCGTCGTGGGCCTCCTGGGCCGACTGCCTGCTGATGCTGCAAGAGCGGGCGCCGGCTTTCGCGGCGGACACCTGCAGGGCCCTTTACGCAGGAGCGAGCGGGCTCCCGCCGGGCCTCCGCCAGGCGGCCGAGGCGTGGCGCCAGCTTGCCCTGGAAGGCTGCGAGACGCCCACCTGGGCGGCTCTGGAGCGCGCCCCCCGCCCACGCGCGACAGGGAGATGGGGGGGTGGGCGCGCGGCTGGCAATTCTGGGCGGCCCGAGCAAGAGACGATCGAGCCAGGGACGGCATCATGCAACGCAGGCAGGCCCCAGAGCGCGCCCTGCTGCGCTCCCGGAGCGGTCCGCGCGCCAGCCGGGTGTTCACGGTCCTGCCCACCAGCGAGCCCATGCGAGTACCGCCCGCGGAGCTGCGCGTCCTCCTCCTGCGCTGCCTGCGCCTTGATGTACAATTCGCGGCAGGCGCGTGCAGGTGCCGAGCGCGACTCGACAGCAGAGGGGGCAACAGGGCGGCCTGCCCCGCGTCTGCCGCGAAGCGGGGGCGAGAGTGGCGGGGAACCGTTCCTGCGGGACCTGAACGTTAACGGCGTCGGCGCGGGCGACGGCAGGCGGCTCGAGGTGATCGCCAGCGGCGCGCCGCTGTGGGGAGGGGCGCAGCTGGCTGTGGACGCCGCGCTGGTCTGGCCTCTGGGCCGGGGCGGCGCGGCCCACCCGCGCGCGGCAGATGAGGGCGGGGCGTGGCTTCGCGAGGCCCGCGGGCGTAAGCAGATCGCCTGCCCGGAGCTCCTGGGCGCGAGGCGCTGCGGACTCTTGGTCCTAGGCCTGGAGGCGGTGGGCCGGCGGTCGCAGGAGGCCCTCCAGTTCGTTCGCCTGTTGGCAGACTGCAAGGCCCGGCCCGCGCCGGAGCTGCTGCGCGCCTCGGCAAAGGCAGCCTGGATCCAGCTGTGGACAGGCCTCGCCTCGGAGGCGGCGCAGCGGGCCTTCGCAGCCTCCCTGCTGCACCTGCCCCTGGATCGTCGGCGGCCTCGCCCGCGACGTCGACGAGCCCTGGCTGCGAGACGCCCTGGCGGACGCGCGCTAGCCCCTGAGGGGGGCGGCCCCTGGCGGGGCGAGAGCCGGGCGCGCGGGGCACCGCCGCCGCCGCGAGGCAGCGGCAGAGGGCGCCAGCACCGCCACGGCTCCAACCAGCCGCGCTGCAACCACGATCACAGACACCGACGCCGCCGCCACGCCGACCAGCAACACCACAACCATCAGCACCTCCACGACAACAGCGCTACCACAACCAGCAGCATCACCTACACTACCACCACCACCAGCACCACCACCACGGGGCAAGGGGCCCAGAGTGGAGCGGGGGCGAGAGGTGGGACGGGGCTGCCGCGCGCCCGCCTGCGGGCCCCACCTCTCGGGCGTGGGGCGGGGCTGTCGCGCGCCCGCCTGCGGCCCCCGCGCCCGGGCCCCCGCTCCATGGGCCAGAGAGACTTGCTGGACAGCCAGGGGCGCGGCAAAGCGCAAGCTTGCGGGGCGGAGCGTGGGCGGGAGGTGGGGTGGTGCTTCCGCGCGCCCCCCTGCATGCGGGCCCCGCCTCCCGGGCGCGGGCCGGGGCTGCCGCGCGCCCGCCTGCGGGCCCCGCGCCCGGGCCCCCGCCGCCACAGAGCCTCTGCCAACAGAAAACGACGAGGACGCGGCGACGGACAGCGCCAGCACCTCCGCGGCGACCAGCAGCACCAGCAGTACCACCACAACGGCGGCCACCAGCGAAGGTGCCGCCAGCGGCACCGCCCCGCGCGCGCCAACCGCAGCAGCAGCAACCCAACCGCGCCAGCGACCAGCGCGACCAACAGCAGCAGCAGCAGCAGCAGCAGCAGCAGCAGCAGCAGCAGCAGCAGCAGCAGCAGCAGCAGCAGCAGCAGCAGCAAAGCGGCGGCAGTAGCAGCAGCAGCAGCAGCAGCAGCAGCAGCAGCAGCAGCAGCAGCAGCAGCAGCAGCAGCAGCAGGCACCCTGGCAGCGGCCAGGACGACAGCAGAGGGACGACGGGACACATCTAGGGAAACAAAGCGAGCAACCAGCTTACATCATCTCGGGGGGCCTCGCTTCGGCTCAGTGAGCTGAAGGCGTGAAATCGCATTCGAGGCCCCGTGGCTGAGATATCACCGATTGCGCGTGGACGCAGATTCCCGCCTCCAATCCACAGCGCATTGCCAGGTGCTTCCGCTTTATGCCTTCCTCATGCTCCTTCGGACCACCTGTCGCCCAAAGGGCTGGTGGGATTTATCACCCATCTGCTTGTGCTGCTGCTGCTGCTGCTGCTGATGTTGTGGCTGCCTCTGCTGGTGCTGCGTCTGGTGCCCTGGAAGGCCCTTTGGGGCCATCTAGGAGGGCGTCGATCAAAATATTTGGGTTTCTCGATTTCGGCCCCTTCCCGGGAGCCCTCAAGATCGTCTCTTGGGGCTCTCCTGGGGCTCTTTGGGAGGGTCTTGGAGCTCTCTTGGGGCTCTTTTAGTGGTCTTGGGGCCTTCATGGGCCCTTCATGGGGCTCTCTTGGGGCTTCTTGGGCCCTGGAAGGCCTCTTGGGGCCATCTTGAACGCCGTCAACCAGGGGAGGGGATGGCGCGACGTTCAGCCCCCCTCCGAAGAGGCCAAAATCGAGCCACAACTTGAAACCAATGATTTTGGCTTCCTTGCCGATGCCTTTCTGGGCGCCCTGGCACCTCGCGGAACCGCGCGCAAAGTCAGTCCAGGGGGGGGGGGGCGGGGGGAGACGCGTGCGAGAGACAGGAGAGGTCCAAGAGCATCGGAGCACCCCCTTGCTTGATTCCTGGTGGATTTCAGCACGCGGCCGCCAAACAACGGGTTCAGAGGGCCGCCGTGGCGCCGCCCAGCCCGAGCCTCCAGACAGGGCACGTGTTCCCCGATCTCCATCATGATGAACGGACTGCCGTTGAACGCATTCTGGACATGACTCAGGAGGGCAGCGCTGTCTGGAGGGAGTGCCCGGGACAACTCGCCTATTGTTCAATGGCGTCAACTCTCCGTGGGCCGGCCACGCCAAGTGGCGCAGGCCAGAGCAGGCGGCGCGCTTCGGCCTTGGCGCCTGCGCGTCGAACTTTGCAGGTGCGTCAGCGGCGAACCTTCCCCGCCGCGATCGGCCGACTGTCGCCGTCACTTTTTGGCGGGGCAGTTGGCGAGGTGCCAGTAACACGCTCGCGGCCGCGCGCATAAACAAGGCCAGTCAGCGCCTCGAGGCAAGAAGCGTGGCCAGGGCTAGCCGTGGCATCCGCGCCTTCAGCCCAGAAGGCCCATTCGTTGAGCATTTGTTTAAGAAGTCCTGCCGTGGCTCGCTTGCGCCTTGTGGGGCCCTGATGTTGCGCGCCTCGGCCCCTTGAGGGTGCTTCCTTTTCGAAGCCCCCTGCGTCTTGGAGCTCGTGCTAGACGCCCCCGTGGGAAGCAGCGCTCGTCGCTCCTGCCCGGCGATGCTTTCCATGGCTAAGGCGATGGCACGGCGCCCTCGCTGCCACCCCGAAATGGTGGTGGACCGCGGAAGTTCGGCATCTGCGCGGGCGTGCCGCTACTCTAATCGGTCACAATCTGCCCGTTGCTGCTGCAACTCGGTTTTGACAAGCATATCTTGTGCATGTTTGCGCTTGTTGCCAGACCTTGCGGCGGCTGCGAGGGCGCATTTGATTGGCGTCAGAAGCTCGGACCAGGCATCGCGCGAACGCTGCGTGGCATCTTCGGAGGCGTCACGTCCCGGCGCCGCGTTCAGGATGCGAAAACTGCCTCTGCCAGAGCGCGGGTCGACACTGGACCGGGGGTGGCTGCGTGAGCTCGGCGCCCTCTCGCAGTGCGCGCGTTGGCCCGTGTGGTGTCTGCCGGGGGCGGCAAGCCGGCGGCCCCCGGTCCAGGATGGCGGCCGAGATTAGGCGCTGGCCGCCCCAGGGAGCCCACTGCTGACCGAGCGAGGCGCCGACGAGAGGGGCGCGTCGAGCCGGCGGCTCCGCGCGGGGCGCGAGCCGCGCACGCCCCGCGCGTGGTGCCGGGCGATGCCACTCAAAGCGCTCTGCCGGAATAGCCCCCTCCAGGGTGCCATTCCAATGCCCTTCGAGGTGCGCCTGCATTGTCTGCGCAGAGCCCCGCGAGAGGCTGCGGGGATCACGTCGTGGGCGACCGGCGACGGGGCGCCAGCGACGGGGCAGTGGGCGCCGGAGCTGACCTGCGGCGCCTCGTCAATGTCCAGCCTGCGAGCGCCCGCGGCCGCCTCAATCGCGTCGCCCGTATCCGCGCGGCTGCGTGACCTCTGCCTCCCTCCCAGGCGGGAGGGGGCTCTGGCTGGGGGCGCGCCTGCAGGAGGCGTGGCCTCGTCGATGTCCAGCCTGCGGGCGCTCTGCTGCGCGGCGTCGGCCGCGTGGTCGGCCTGGCCAGACCGCCGCCGCGGCGGGGCCGGGCCCGCCCTGGCCGCGGCGTGCAACTCCGCGGCCGCGCGACGCCTTCAGGGAAGCATGGAATTCCACCGCTCCCCACGCTGGCCGTGGCGCTGCCTCCGGGCGGTTCTCTTCGCCCAGGTGCGCGCCCAGTGCTGCTGGAGGCCCAGGGCGGGTGGCGTCGCCGACCCGCGCGCCGGCGTGGCCTCCTTGCCCGGCCCCCTTGGGCCAGAGGGTTCTGGTCCATTGCCTGATGAAGTGTTCTCTGTCCTTGTGAACTGGTCCATTACGTGGCGGCGCCGGGCATGTGCCGGCTTGCGGGGGCTGCTCTGGCAAATGTTTCCGACGGGGCGTCCTGGGAGTCTGACATCCGAAGTGATAGGTTTATGTGCAAACGTTCAGTTTCCCCATCAAGCACAAAGGAATGCATCAGTCGGTGCGCGATGTAGTAGTAGTAGTAGTAGTAGTAGTAGTAGTAGTAGTAGTAGTAGTAGTAGTAGTAGTAGTAGTAGTAGTAGTTGTAGTAGTAGTAGTAGTAGTAGTAGTAGTAGTAGTAGTAATCGTATAAATAGTAGTAGCAGTCGTGGTAGTAGCCTTTTTATTTTTATTATGATTAGTAGTAGTTGTAGATGTAGTAGTAGTAGTGGTAGTAGTAGTAGTAGTAGTAGTAGTAGTAGTAGTCGTAGGAGTAGGAGTAGGAGTATTCGTAGTAGTAAACGTAGTATTATTATTATTAGTAGTAGTAGTAGAAGTAGTAGTAGTAGTAGTAGTAGTAGTAGTAGTAGTAGTAGTAGTAGCAGTAGTAGTAGTAGTAGTAGTAGTAGTAGTAGTAGTAGTCGTAGTAGTAGTAGTAGTAGTAGTAGTAGTAGTAGTAGTAGTAGTGGTAGTAGTAGTGGTAGTAATTATCGTAGTAGTAGTAGTAGTAGTAGTAGTAGTAGTAGTAATAGTAGTCGTCGTAGTGGTCGATGTTGTAGTCGTAGGAGTCGTAGGTCCTTTCGTAGTAGTAAGGGTAGGAGTAGTAGTAGTCGTAGTAGTGGTAGTGGTAGTAGTAGTAGCAGCAGCAGTAGTAGTAGTAGTAGTAGTAGTAGTAGTAGTAGTAGTAGTAGTAGTAGTAGGTAGTAGTCGTAGTCGTCGTTGTCGTCGTCGTCGTCGTTGTCGTAGTAGTAGTAGTAGTAGTAGTAGTAGTAGTAGTAGTAGTAGTAGTAGTAGTAGTAGTAGTAGTAGTAGTAGTAGTATCGTAGTAGTAGTAGTAGTTCGATTGAGCAGTAGGTAGTGGCCGTAGAGTAGTAGTCGTATAGGTATTAGTAAGTAGTAGTATTTGTGCGTAGTAGTAGTAGTAGTAGTAATGTAGTAGAATGTAAGTAGTAGTAAGTATAGTAGTAGTAGTAGTAGTAGTAGAAGTAGTAATAGTAAAAGAACAAGTCGTCCTCGTTGTAGTAGTAGTACTGGTAGTAGTCGTAGTAGTAGTAGTAGTAGTAGTAGTAGTAGTAGTAGTAGTAGTAGCAGTTTTGGTAGTAGCCGTCGTGGTCGTCATCGTCGGAGTAGTATTAATAGTATTAGTACAAGTAGGAGCAGTAGTAGAATGATAGTCATAGTGGTAGTAGTAGTAGTAGTAGTAGTAGTAGTAGTAGTAGTAGTAGTAGTAGTTGTCATATTA